CGTGCGCAGGACAGGGCTGCAGTATTTGTCACCCTGTGGGTGTGGGGGCAGAGCTCTGGTCCCTGTGGGCGGGTGTCTCCCAGGCGGCGGCCCTCGGTCTTTCTCCCTGAGTGTGCAGCACCCAGCAGAGAGAGGCTTTGTCTTGCTTGGGCCTTGTCGTGCTGCCACGATACCAGTCGGTGACCTTATTCATGTCCCAGTAGTCAGTGTTTGCTCATTCCTTTCTCGTGCCTCTGTGACCCCCCCGTGCCCCATAAGGGGCTGGTGCAGGTGAGGTTCCCCAGGGGTCTCCGTCTGGGTCAGGTAGAATTAACCCAGGCCTCTGTCTTGCAGATTCCCCCAAAACAGAGGAGACCTGGGAGATGTCAGCAGACGAAAGCTCCTCAGGCTGGTGCCCCAGACGAGGCCCTTCCCCAGGGCTTCTCTCCACTCTCCACACAATGAAGCCTCTCCTGGGCCAGTACTGTAGACTAGTGGGGCTTTCCCCACGCCAGTTCACCAGGGCTCACCTGTGCCTTGTCCACCCTGCAGGTGCTGGGACCCTGAGCAGAGCTGAGCAGAAGCCTCCTGGAGAAGAGCCTGTAAACCTGGAGCTGCACAGGACTTCCCCAGGGAGACTGGAGGACAGGGGCTCCCCGACACGTGAGCTGGGCCAACTGCAGAAGGGGCAGGGCAGGCCTCCAAGGCAAGAGGTGAGCAGGGCACCAGGTTCAGTTGGGAGCGGGAGTACAGCTGGGGCAGAGCCCAGGAGGAGCCAGGGGTGGTGTAAAGAAGTTGGGGAGCGGAGATCTCTGAGGAGCAACAAGCCTGTGGTGACAAACGTGGAAACGCACCCGGCTGCATCAGCAGGATCTCCCTCCCAAGTGCAGAGAGCAAGGGGTGCTGGCACGGGGACGCCTGGTCAGAGCGCGAGCAGGTGGGGCTCCCTGCCCCTAAAAGCACAGCCCCGGCTGCCTCAAGGGACCGAGCAAAGAAAAGATGCTGAGCTGGGCTAAATCCTATGTCCCCACGTGCATCCACATCACAGGTCAGCTGACTAACGAGGACTTTTGCACCCCTGCCTGTGATGGCTAGACGTGCAATTAGTTGTAGTACAGAGTCCTGGCAGACAGGGCTGAGGGGTCTGGAAGTAGCTGGAACTAGAGACACTGATGGTGTAATGCGTGTGACTACAGCTCCGGGAGGTGTTTGAGGACGTGGCCGTGTACTTCACACACAAGGAGTGGGAGCTGCTGGAAGAGGAGGAGAAGGTGCTTTACCGGGACCAGATGCTGAAGAATTACGACGCCCTCATTTCCCTGGGTAAAGTGCTGGTTCTTGCTTCTCTCTGGAGTACTTTAAAGAAGGCTTACTGAGGTGCAGGAACAAACCATCCTGATGTGCAGGAAGACTAGCGAATCTGGCAGAAGAGCAGCTTGTCTTAGTGGGGGGTGACCGGCAGGGCAGCTGCTCTGCACAAAAGCCCTTGGCCGTGACAGTGGAAAATAAGGTGGATATGAGCCAGCAGTGTGCCCTTGTTGCCAAGGATGTTCATGGCATCCTGGGCTGCATTGGTAGGTGTGTTGCCAGTAGGTCAAGGGAAGTGATTCTTGCCGTCTGTTCAGCACTGGGGAGGCCACATCTGGGGTCCTGGGTTTAGTTTTGGGCCCTTGGATGTGGACAAGCTGGAGAGAGTCCAGTGGAGGGCAATTAAAGTGGCAAAGGGGCTGGGGGACATGACTTGTGAGGAGAAGCTGAGGGAACTGGACTTATTTAGTCTAGAGATAAGGAGACTGTTTGGCAACCACTGAGCTTTCCAGATCATGGTGTATGCATGAGACGTCACCCAGATCTTCAGTGCATATTCTGAGGCAGGAGCATATTTGTGTGGTGTGTGTGTTTTGTTTTGTTTTTGTTTTTTTTTTTTTGAGGAGTGGAGGCTGCCCAGACCTTGCATCTGCCCTTTAGGCCCCTGCGACAGATTCCAAAGCCAAACGGGGTCCAGACGTTTGGTGCCTCCATGGCTGTATTTGTATAAAGGTCCATGAATTGAACCCAGGTCTTTTGTGTGGCAGACAAGGACTCTGCCACCAAACCACTGGGGACTTCAGAAGTGGAGAAGCTGGTGGTTTCAGTCTTTCTCTCCACAGCTCTGTCAGTGATCAGGCCTGTCTCACATTTCATATTGGTAGATCCTCCTTCATTTGATCAACCCCCCTTCACTTGCCTCTTCCCCGTTCTTGTAACTCCTGTTGCTGCCAGATGGAGCAGTTTCTTGACAACATGATTTCCCTTTGCCTTCTCAGCGTGTTCATATCATGTCCAGTCCGTTGTACGTAGTTTCATAGTTTCTAGGGTTGGAAGGGACCTGAGCA